CAACGGATTTAACACTAGAAAACTTCTTTTATTATTGATGATATATTTTTATAAACATAGACATATGGGATTGTAAAATGAAATTTTTGTTAATTGTTTGAAAATATTATATTTATATTAATTGTTTAAAAATAGTTTTTCTTTTCTTTATTGCCATATATTGCAATATAAATTGAATTTTTAGGAAAGTCGTTGATTACATTTTAATTTTGGCGTAAAGCGACTTGCTTAAATATCTTAAATAAGAATAATTAAATATTTAAAATCTTTTACATAATTATAATATTTTATTATCAAATATTTATATTTTACATATAAATATCTGATAATAAAAAAAGTTCAAGAATTCAAAAAAGTATCCGTGCAACATTAACAATAATGCAAAAATAATGAGCGGTTTGATGAAAAACTATAATGGGTTCTTTAAAGTACCGTTTTTTAAGGTTCTTCCAAAGAACCCTTTCAAATGGTTCTTTGAAGAACCTCTACGGGTGCTCCACCAGCGTCAACGCGATGAACCTTAAAAAGTTCTTTGAAGAACCATTCGGCTTAAGAGTAGAGGTGCGCGAATATATAACATGTTGCGAAAAAAACGTGTTTTTCCTGACAAAACATGCCGTCGACCGAAAAAAATAAAACGTTTTATTCGATGAAAGCTTTTGTTAACATGGATGCTGCTATGTTTTTCACCGCATTTTTTTTCACCACTAGCGCAAAAAAATTATATTGTGTTGTTAAATTTGTTTAAGTATACCAATAAAATATATCAATATTACTTTTTGATTTTATTTGATACATGATTTTCACTTTAGGCTAGATTTTATGAAGTATTTTTAAGTTGCATAATATAAATTACATTGAATTGCCTTAATACGATTCAACATAATATATATTGTTGTTATAGTAAATAAAGTATAATACATATAAGTATATGTATTTAGTTGTTTAATATGTATTTTAATTATTTTTTTTTAGGAAGCTTTCAAATATGACTTTTTTCGAGCTATCTTTGCATCAGGGTACCCTCTAAACATGGTTGAATTTCCCATTTGGAAGGAATTTTTTTCAAAGTACCTGCCTGCAATTAATTTGCCCAATCAAAAATCTCTTTCAGAAAATTTACTTGATAATGAATATTATAGGATAAAAGCACTAGTTGAAAAAAATGTTTCTGATTCACTTTCTCTTGCAATTCAATCGAATGGCTTTTCCAATATTAGGTAGTTTGTTTTCTTTTTTAAAATTATCTAATGGTTTTAATAAACTTGAAAAACAAAAAGAAAATGTACAATTTAATAATCAAATCATTAAAAAACACTAAGTTTATTAAACAAATAATATTTATTTTTTTCTAAATTAAAATAGTTTACTATTCAAAGGTCTTATATTTTTAGGAGAGAGCCAATTATTCATGTGGTTGTTACTACACCTGAATCTGTGCTTTACAGGAGTATTTGCCCTGGTACCCAGCCACAAACAGGTGCCTACATGGCAGAGATTATTATCAATTGTTTAGATGAGATAGGGCCATAAAATTTTTTAGGAGGAGTTACAGACAACTGTTCTGCAATGTTACTTTCCAGACGTATGATTGTGAAAAAGTATCCTCACTTAGTTTTCTTTGGCTGTGTGGCACATATATTAAATCTTTTAATTCTTGATCTATGTAAAACATCTTTTTTGGAAAATGTTATAAAAACATCTATTAATTTAGTCAAAGAAATAATCAACTCATCGTTAAAATCTTGGTTTGATTCAATTCAAAAACAAAAAAGGAATTAATGTTTCATTAAAGCTGGCGTCAAAGACTCGGTTTGCTGGTAATAACACTTGGAACTGTATTATCTAACAAACAAGTGTTTAAACAAATGGCTATAGATATTCGTCCTGGAAACCCGAAATTCTCTTTGAAACTTGAGTCAAAAGAATTAATATTAAAGATTCATTTTGGCAAGGCCTTGAGCATACTTGTAAATTTTTAAAAAAGATTTTGCATTGGATTACAGTTTTAGAAGCAGAAGAAGCAGTATTGAGTATAGTCTGCTTGGCTATGTCGGATATAAAATTAGCCCTTGATAACTTTATATCTGAAGCAGGGTTGACAGATTTAGAATGTGTGGAAATGCAAAATTATTTTACGTTAAGAAAAGAAATGTCTGTCACAAACCTTCACTTAGCTGCAAACTTGCTTAACCCGCAAATAAAAGGTTTAATCCTATCTGGTTCAGAATTTTTGGAAGCAATGGAGTAAACAGAAATGTTAGAAAAAAATTTGTCTATAAATAATAATGTTGACTTGTCAGTTGTTGCAAAATATATTACCCAGTTTGTAAATTCTACTGGACTGTGGGCAAATAGCTATGTCGAGCAACTTGCTAGAAATCAAGATTCTATAACATATTGGCAAGCTCTAAGAAAATGTAGTCCACTCGCTGATTTAGCAATTAAAATTTTATTGATGCCATCTTCTTCAGCTGCTACTGAAAGAACTTTTAGTACTAGAGGCTTTATCCACAGAAAACTTCAAAATTCTCTAACTAATGAAAGAGCTAGTAGGTTGACTTACATAAAACAAAACTATATGCTGATGAATTTAAACCTAAAAAGTCAATTGCAAGATTTTAAAAGTTCATTTAGCAAACTAAAGAAGAAAAAAATTAGTTTGTCCTCGCTTATTCAATCATGCATTAAAAATGCAAATAAAGTACTTGATTCTACAAAATGTCATGCAGAATTTTCAAATTATGATAATTTCTCTCAAGTATTGATGGCAGTGATTATGAGGATGCAACACAATCAGAAGGAGAAAGCAATGAAAGTGAGTCTGAGGAAGATATAGATTTTGTGTCAGATTCCTCTTTGAGGTAAAACTGTGTTTACCTCAAACAGGAAAAACACAGTTTTATAAAACAAAACAGTGTTTTATTTTATAAGATTTTTAGATTTTATTTTGAAAGATGATATTTTTTATTGATAATATGATATTATGATATTTTATTTTGAAAGATGATATCTAATAAAAGAGAAAAAATATCAACAAGAGTCATTCTTGGTAGTAAGGTTAAAGGCGACATAAAGATTAATTTACTTCTAGAATAGAGTTACAATGAAACTAATCTAAATGTTGTATGGTGATTATTCTTATTTTGCCTATTTTCTTCTAAAAAGAGATTGTTCGGCTCCCCATCTACGCTTTTATACTGGAAGGATAAAATTGTTAAAAAAAAAGCCTTTTCATTTTTCGGCCTTCTTCTCGATTATTAAACAAGTTTCTCAATTAATAAACAACGTCCTTTATGCGTGAGTTATATTTTTGTGTAAGAATGTCTACAATGACTCGCACAATAGATAAGTCTTAGCATTTTTTCTGTTTAAGACCTGCACATAATTTAAACGTAAAAAACTTGGTTACAAAAGTAGAAAAACAGAATGGTGAGATAAATATGCACCACTGTAATCAGAAAAGTACATTAAACTTGATCAATATTTTAGGTATATATAATGCTTACTATGAAAAGTCGAACTATAAGTCCGAAATGAAAGAATTTTGTTAGTACTGAAATAAAGCATCTCACATAAGGTATCTATTCATTTTATATAGCAAACTGTATTAGTTTTTTATATAAATCTACATTAGTTTTATCAAACTATTATTGACTAAAAATTAAAATAAAAGTAGACTGTGAAAGTCTTCGGAAACCTTCTCACATATAAGTGCAACTTCCTTATTTTTCATTGCGGTATGCGGCTCATCAAAACACTTTTACACTCTGTTTAATTCGGTCAGCTTATGTGTTATGCGTTTCGCTCAATTGAATATTGCTTGGTAGGCAATATTAATACTTGATAAGCAATGTTTAATTATTGCTTGCTTAAAATGCATCATAACAGCAGGTTTTAATAAAATATTAAAAGTAATTTTTTTATCCGAATTTGATAAAATAAAGTAGTTATATTCGCTATGCCGAAGAGCTTTTAAATCCAATCTTTTAAAATGCCGACTTAAATTTAGCCCGTTAGTTTAAGGCAAGCTGCATATATGACTTAGTCTTGCACTTCGTCCATGAGCTATTGACTCAATTTTTGAAATGCGAAAAACACGTGTTTTTCGCAAAAACACGTGTTTTTTAAAGGAATGAAACGTCAAATTGAAAAACATGTTTTTTGCCCACCACTACTTAAGAGTGTAGTATTCGATTTACGTTGCTTGTTGACATATTGAATTTAACTCCTAAATCCTCAATAGGAAAACCACATCTTAATCTACACAAAACCTTAAAGAATTCTGTTTCTGGAGTAAAGGTTCTTGTGCATCCCTTTTTTGTAACTACACTGTTTGTCTTATTTTCAATATTATTATTTGAGTCTTAATTTATTAAACAACTAGTTTCTGGTTGAAAATATTCAAAAATAACTTTAAACAGTACATAACTTTCAAAGCCAGTATAAAATTTAAAATGGATTTTGTTATGTTTTAATCTGTTTATTGTGAATTCTGTTATTTTAATAACACCTTGTAGCTCTAATATTTTATTTTTGTATTTAATGTCTCGTTTTTTACTATCCAGTTCCATACTGCTAAGTTTTGATTTTAATTCCTCCACCTCAGCTGCTAATTTTTTTTCAGACGTGTAATCTACTTCTTTAGCTTCTCTGTTTGTGTGTGAGAGAATGGGAATAGAAAAAGGAATTTCTTTAAAACCACTGCTGTTATTGGATTTTCCTTTTTAACTTAGTTCAAGTTGTAAGGTATTTGGAATAATAGTTGGAGTTCTATTAATGTAAGTTTTTTTCCCACCTATAAAATGAGCTGAACAAACTCTGTGGGTAGCAGTACGTTTAAAATCTTTTCTGCTAATTAGATGAAGCCATTTTTTTTTCAATTCTTTTTCTTTGGGAATGACATAATAAAAAAGTTCCTTTTGTTTTGAAGAATTGCTGTAACAAAGTGGTACACAACAAGTATTTCCCCGCATTTTTTTTTAACTTTATGGATCGATGAATTATCCTGAGTAAATAAAGCGTTTTCCAAAGATAAAGTACTACATTATCTGCAATATATAAA